ATATATAATAGTTTTACTGTATACTATTCTTGATTAATTCCTATTTAACTAAAGTGTTTACATCATCAAAATGGTGCTGCTATAGACTGTCTCTGGGGGCATAGTGCCTAATGCATTTGACTGCTAACCAGAGGGCTGGCAGTTCAAACCCACCAGCCACAGCTCAGGAGGAAGTCTGGGTGATCTACTTCCGTAGTGATACTGCCTCTGAAACCCAAGGAGGGATTTCTATGAGTCGGATCTGACTTAACAGCAGTGAGGTTTTTTTTTTTTTTTTTGATAGAATGTTTGTCGGGATATGGGCATAGCCTTGCTATAAACCAAAACTAAACTCACTGTCACTGAGTTGATTTCAACTCACAGCAACTTCCATTGGGTTTCCAAGGCTGTAAATCTTTACAGAAGCAGACTGCCTCATCTTTCTTCCACAGAAAAGCTGTGGGGTTCGAAGTGCCATCCTTTTGGTTAGAAGCCGAATGTCTTAGCCACTTCACCACCAGAGCTCCTTAGCCTTGCTATAGTAAATATAATTACTATTTTGGTTAAAAAAAGAAAGAAAGATTTTATTGGTATTATGTATAACTGTATCCTGGTTAAAGAATAAAGAAAATACCAACATATAATACATTTGGGGATAATTACTACTTTTTTAAACTGTGTGTGTATGTGTGTGTGTGTGTGTGAGAGAGAGAGAGAGAGGGAGAAATAGAGAAACAGAGAGAGAGAGAGAGAGAGAGAGAGAGAGAGAGGGAGAGGGAGAGAGAGTGGAGATTGCTGTATTAGTTCTAGGGCTGCCATAACCAAATACTGAAAATTGGGAGATTGAGTGGCTTGTTAGAATGGACATGTATTATCTCACCATTCTGGAGGCTGGTAGTCTGAGTTCAGGTTGTCATCAGGGCCATGTTTTCTCCCAAGGTTGTATGGAAAAATCCTTTCTTGTGTTTCTCAGGGTAACACAAACAATGCAACACACTGCCATCGAGTCGGATCCAACTCATAGCGACACCTCCTTAGGTTTCTGAGGCGATATCACTATGGAAGTAGATTGCCCAACCTTCCTTCCGAGGAGTGGCTGGAGGGTTTGAACTGACAGCCTTCTGGTTAGCAGTCAAATGCTCTTAGGTAGCCACAGCATTTCTTGGCTTGCAGCTGTAGCATAAATCCATGGTCACATGGCTGTCTTCCATCTGTCTGTCTCTCTGCGTTTTCTCTTCATTAATAAGGACACCACTCATATTGGATTAGGATCATCCCTACTCCAGTACAATCTCATGAACTGATAATATCATTAAAGATCCTACTTCCAAACATGGTCACATTCACAGGTTCTGGGAATTAAGACTGCAACATATATTTTTGAGGGACACAGCTGAATTCATAACATTGCTTTATTATTATTTTATTAATTTCCCATAGCTAAAGGTTTTCTTCCAAGTATCCTGTAGTGGAGTTCTTGTCTTCTTATGTACCGGTGTTAACTTTAGGTGAAGTAAACAGTCTTCTGAGTTTGCCCCAACAAGTTATAATCATACAGCAACTTCTAGGTAGCTTAGAATTACCAGGCTGCTAGAATGAACACACGCCTCTCGCTCTCAGAAAGTGATCTGTAGTGCTTCTGAAGTCAAAAGTCTTAAAGCCACCAGAGCAAAAGCCAAGAATATCCCTTCATCTTTGATGTTTTGTATCTCAAAGGTTTTAAATTCTATGCCAAATGTAAAGTTCATTTTATTCTAAAATTTCTGAATGTTTCAATTCAACCTGATCTGAAAATCGATAATCATCAAGGAAGCACAAGACAGAGTTAAGGTTGTTGATATTGGTATACTTGGCATATTGACAGTATTTAGAATTGAACCAAAATCAAAACCAAACCCACTGCCATTGAGTTGATTACGACTCGTAGCACCCCCATTGAGTTTCTGAGGTGGCAAATCTTTACAAAAGTAGATCGCCCAGTCTTCATTCCTCAGAGTGGCTGGTGGGTTTGAACCGCCAACTTTCTCCTTAGCAGTCAAATGCCTTAGGCACTGTGCCACCAGAGTTGAACTATAAATCCTGAGGTCATATTGTAAAGAGACCCCTCCTTGGGTTTCCCAGGTGCTATCTCTATGGAAGTAGATTGCCCAATCTTCCTTCTGAGGAGTGGCTGGTGGGTTTGAACCACCAGGCTTTTTGTTAGCAGTCAAGGGTGTTAGGCACTATACCACCAGAAAGAGATGTAATTTCCCAATATAGCCCCACAGGACAAGAAAGATGTGGTAAACAATACCCAATACCCTAGGACAGCTGGGCAAGGAAGTCAATGAGAGAACAGGTTCAAAAGCCTTCAACGTGTATATGAGACAAAATTGGACAAGGGAGGGAGGAAAGAAGTAAAAAAAAAAAAAAAAAGGTATAAAAGGAAAATCAGTACCCAACTAACCAATAATACCATAAATACAGTTAGAAGAAATTTGACCCTCAATTCCCAATAAAGCAAAAACAATACAAAAACTACAATCTATATGAGAAAGTGCTTCTGCACTGCACACACCTTGATCTTGCAAAAAAGACATTGTAAACTGTCTCTTCATCTTCTGAAAGCTTTAAATGGTGTAACTGATATTTACGCGGGGGTAGCATCACCTGGAAGAGTTTTAAAAAAAGAGGCTGGCATGAAGCTATACAAATTAGCTAAGTATTTTAGGGAGTAAATTCCCCAAATTTGACACTAGAAATCTAGTCAACCCTAGGATAGCAGCTTCCACCCTTCCCTAAAATTAAGTGTGCTATAACACAAGACGCGGGACAGCAACCCTAGGGCCTTTTCCTAAGGACAGTGGGAAATTCAGAGGTTCTTGAAGCAAAGCAGATGGCCTTTCAAGCCAAGACAAAGACATGGTCATCCTCCTTCCCTGCCCTCCCTAAGGGCAGGTATAAATAAGATTACCAAAGGTTTGCCGGTGGAGTCCAGCTGGTCCTTTGTTCTCCTCAGCAAAAGGCTCTTGGTTAAAATACTTAACCGTTCACCTCCTTTCTTCGAACCATTGTCAACCTGACTCTTCCAAAGATTGAACTCATCAAATGGAGAACAACGGAGAAACCTTTTTTTTTTTTTAAGGGAAAAAGGGCAAAGAGTAGGGCAGGAGAGATAAGAGAGGATGAAGTAAAGAGTCAAAGTAAGACATAAGATGAAAAATGAATCAGATTTTCTGTTACATCTGCCATCCAATCATCTTTGAAAAATGAATTTCATAGCAAGGCTCTGTTAGGCAGATCAATAGGATCCAAGTCAGTAATGAAAACCACATTATGAGAATGAGTTTTTCCATGAACAGTGTCTACATGATTGTAATAGGACATATAACCAAATAGCTAAAATTTAATCCTAAAGATTTAAAGGGTAGCAAAAAAATTCCAAATCCTCTTATGGGCTAACTAGAATAAAAAGAAGTATTTTAAAATAAGCATTCTTTTCTGTTTGCTTTGAATAAATTAAAGCCCTGAACCCAGGCCATGTGTTTTTAAAGCAGAAATCACCAAAAATATTAACTGGACTTAAGAAAGTTGACTTTGACTTTCTTTAATTGCAATTGTCCTGTATTTTTGCATGTAAAGGGGCTGGATGTGATCAAAGTCCTGTATCAGCCAGTCAATCAACAGGTACTTTCTCATCAATGTTAATGCTTGCCACCTGCTAAACAAGAAAATTTAGCACACACTGGAGCTTTATCATGAGACATGAAATAATCATGAAGGGTCACTGACAGGGTTCACATTTACTTAATCCTATAGTTTACTCACTTAAGCAGCGAGTACATGTCCAACAAGTTGTTTTGAATGGGGGTGCCAGTGACAGCCCAACGGGCATGGGCTTGCAGCTTACACACAGCTATGGAAGTCTGCACTCGCGGATTCTTAATATTGTGAGCTTCATCCAATATGATTCGAGCCCAGACTATTTGAAGCAAAGGTATTGAGATGACCTGGAGGAAAGACAAGTGAAATTCAGCAACAATATGGGAAAATGTACATGTGCTCAAATTGATATGGGGATAAACTAACAAGTAATGAGGGCCCACTCTACCTTCAAATGTGAGGGCTTATATAAGCGTACTAAATAAGAGTTTAAGAAACCAGGAATAGAAACTCTTGGTTTAACAGCTACCAATAAACAAATCATTTGAGAGCCTAAGTCTTTGAGCTTAAGGTACCTCATAGTAAATGTTTAAATTTTCATTTAAATTTTCATTTATTCTTTCAATACCTTTTGAGCAATATTTATGGACCAGAAGTATACTAGGTGTTAAGCCTGCAAATTCACTCATTCAACAAATTATTTATTGAATTTACTAAGATTCACTAAACATTTCCTGTAAGTCTACTTTTATATATAAGATTCTAAGCCACACATAAAGGACAGTGCGGTAGTTAAAGTTGTACGTCAACTTGGCTAGGCCTGGTTGAGTGGCTGGGCAACTGGATTTAGTGTTCTCCATGATGAGACTGGTAATCAACTCCATAGTAGAATCTACTGTGAGCAGCTGCCTTTGGGTATGTGGTCTGCTTCCTATATATAAGCAGCAAGTTTGGGAACGGTCTCTAGCCTATGGCATGCTTGAACCCTGCATGTAGCCATGTCATTGTTCAGCAGCTGACCTTGGGACTTTCAATGGACTTGAATTAATGGCCTGCTGTGTGGTTTGATAACTTTGGGAACGTGTCTGTTTTCCTTGCCAGCCTTGGGCTTGTCAGCCTCAGTAGCCAGCAGTTGTTTGAGTGAAGAAAAGCCTCTGGCTCCAGTGGGCTGGGAGCAAAAGGCAGAGCTGAAATCCAAAGCTGAGGGGCTTTCACCCAGTCCCTAGAGGCTGGCACTTGGAACTTGGGCTTAAAGCCTCCAAATTTTAAGAATAAACTGTTTGTTAAAGCCATTCCATTTGTGGTTTATTCTTGTCAGAGTGGCACTAGGTAAACAAAACAGTTTCTACTCTCAGGAGCTCAATCTAGTGGGGGAGGAAAAACAAGTGTAAAAATAATTAGACTATGGTGTACATAATAAATTCAACTGGATTATCTAATCCATGACAGTTAGTCAGTCTTGTTCACTGTTGTATTCCAAATACTTGAAACAGCATCTGGCTTGTAGTGTTGTCATCAAGTGCCATTGAGTTAGTTGACTTTTCAACCTACAATGACTCCATGGGATAGAATATTACAGCCTCGTTGGGTTTTCCTGACTGTAATCTTTACAGAGGCAGATCATCAGGTCTTTCTCCCATGGAGTGGCTGGGTGGGTTTAAACTGCCAACTTCTTGGTTAGTAGCCAAGTGCTTAACTGTTGCATCATCAGAGCTCGTTGGCTCACAGTACCAAAAACTCACAATCATCTGTTGATCCTGACCCATGGCAACCTCCACTGGTTTTCTGAGGCAGTAAATCTTCATGGAAGTAGATTGCCCCATCCTCCTTCCACGAAGTGTCTGATAGGTTTGAACCACCAACCTTCTGGTTAGCAGTCAAATGAGTTTGGCATTGCTCCACCAGAGCTCGCAATAGATACTCACTATTTGCTAAATAAATAGAGTATATGATACAGGGAAACACAAGGTGCTGTGAAACACATTCAACCAAAAGAAGCAAAGATAGGGAGGGTCCAGAAAAAACTCTCGAGGCAGGTAAAAACAACAAATTAGCCTGGGAGAAGCAGAGAGGGGATAATTTCATTCAATGAAAGAACAAAGACACAACAGTAGGACAAAGTATGGTAGAACTACAATTCCTTGGTATGACCGAGAATGAATGAGGTGCCATGGGAGGGAGTGGGGATGGGCACAGGGAAGAGTTGAAGGATGTGCAGGAAAGGAAAAGATCATAAAATAAACTGTCTAATACATCATTAAAGGGATCTGGATTTTATCCCAAAAGTAATGGGGAACTGGGGAATCTAATAAGTTAGGAATCTAATAAGTTAGGAAACTAGAGTTTCTCTGAAGTGGGAGACATGTTTTAGAGATCCCCATAAACAGAAATCTGTGCATATTCTATTGTACTAAAAATAAAAACATACACAAAAGATTAATTCTTGGAATAACACAATTATCAGGGGAAAAAGGCCCCAAAATAATTATGCAATAAAGACTCTACATTATATAACTAAGAATATTCTGGATCCATTAGCAAATATTCACGTTTTTTCCTGTGCGTACAATTTAGCATCTGGTCAATTTATAGCCCTATTATTTGCAAACTTTTTTTCTGAGGGCTGTGAAAGGTAGAAGGGGGAGGCTGGGAATGGTAGATTAATACCAAAATGTTAGTATAAAATATTAAATATTAAAATACTAGGCTACATACTAAATAAAAAAAATATCAAAGAGTAGACCCCAAAAATTCTAAAATAAACATTTCAACAAGTAAATTTCCTATATTCATGTGATTATTACCACCCACAATTGCCAGGTGGCTACCTTAGTTTTAAAAAACAACTAAATATTGTGCCAAATATCAACCTTTATCACTGAGAGATAGGACAGAGGAAAAAGCTATTCACTTCCACAGATGGAATGTTTAGGAGATTTCTGACTTCCCAGGAAGGTAGGGTCACTAACTCTGGCAGCTCGCAAGCCTCACCTCCACATCAAGGTTTGCACCTGGGACTTCTCCCTCTTGCTTCTTTGTAGGAATCTCCTTGGCCAGAAGGCTATAGGTAGTGATCACGATGTCATATGAGGACAGGCTGCATAAAGACAACACAAAGAAAACAGTAAAAGATCCCTTCACGGATTCTTTTATACAAATATCTAAGGCTAGAAGGAAAGACAGCAGAATTCATTGACTTATGCCCTTCATCCTCACACACAATCTTGGACAGGCAAGTTTTATCCAGTTGGCTTCCTATCTCTTACCTCTGATCATTTTTCGAGTTTGTTCACTATGGCTAGAACAGTCTCTCTTTCCAACTAATGAGTCAAAAAGGAAAATCTCTGGCTAGGGTTCACATGAAGCTTGATAATGATCTGAGATGACTGACTCTGAAGTCCCAGGGAAGTAAGAAACCCTCAAAGCACTGTTACCTTTACATCAGTGATGTTCTCTCTTCACAGTTCTAGAATATATTTGTGAAAATCCATTTTTGTAGCTCTGACATTTAGCTATAAATACATGCGCTATAAGCTTTCAGTTAATCTTGCGTATGCTCTTTATATGTAAAGATTCTTAATGACATGCACCAAGGTTTTTCCTTTGAAACTTAATGTTGCGTACCTGAGAGATTTTGAAGAAATACTTCTGTTAAATTGATATGCCTAATTCAGAGAAAGCAATATCTGCATGTTGCCTTGACATCATATAAAAATGTATAATTGAGAATGATTCTAGTCAGGCTATTAGTATATTGTGACTACCAAACTAGGAATTAGCAAGACGCAAATCAAACGATACCTATTTCTGAATAACACTTTGGAACAAAGGCAGGCAACTCACAGTATTCTATGCCAGAGAAGGCACAAAGCCAGCCATAGCTGCCCTGATGCCTAGTTCCTGCTGAAGTGACTACCAGCCTTGAGAATTAGTGTGTTATAAAACTAAGGGTCATAAATCTGGCAATTCACCCCTGAAAGACTGCTGCCCCATTCTTTACAAGACAAAATACCAATATTGGAAGTTGGGGAGAGAGAATACCTAGAAGTAGAAAGAACTTTGTTATCGTCCTTGAACAGATTAGCAAGTATTCAAACCAGATCCTCACAGTACAATTAGAAACAGAAAACAATTCCTTTAAAACCAAAAGACAAAGACTATGACTATTATGTCTAGAGAAACATTTTTTCTCTTTCCTGAAACTCCCCCTTTAGGAATTTTATTAGTTAAGGCTAATCATTCTATTGAAATAAAACCCTTACCCTGGTTCATATATGAAAAACATATCCATAAAAATATAATTAATCTATATCAACTAATAAGCAACTCTGGGTGGGGGGCAAAACAAAAGGTTGGTGGTTCAAATCCACCCAGAGGTCCCCCAGAAGACACGCCTACTGATCTACTTCTAAAAGATTATAGCCACTGAAAATCCCATGGAACACAGTTCTCCTGAAACATGTGGGGCTGCATGAGTTGGGATTGACACAACAGCAACTGGAAAAAAAATACCACCTGACTAATACTATTATATCAAGATTTTAGGTAAGACTGGGCTGATTCCATTCACACTAACAGAAGAACATGTGAAACTGGATTCAGAAATTTAGCTACTGAAATAGTTGTGAAGTAGCCTCTTTTACCAGGGCGAACTCTGCTGCCACCTGAAGCAGCTAACATGACTACTTTTGTTGGAGATAGTGACAAAGACACATTAAAAGAATACCATTCCCTCAAGATGTATCTCAGTATAGAGTGCAAGTTGTTTGGTCTTGAGGTCCCTGACTCATGCACAACGGGACCGGACCACTGTGATCCAGTCATTGGTTGATTTTTCACAAGTAGGTCACCAGGCCTTTCTTCTTAGTCTGTCACTCTAGAAGCTCTGCTGAAACCTGTTCAGCATCATAGCAGAACACAAGCTTCCATTAATGGACAGGGAGTGGCTATACTTGAAATGAACTGTCAGGATTGGAATCCATCTCTCTCTCATGGAAGGTGAGAATTCTACCCCTGAATGACCACTGTCCCCCACAAATAGCATTAGTCCTGATTAAATGAACTCTTAAGGAGAATGGATATGCTCTAGGTGGTGTTCCTTCCTCCCTTATCCTATCAGTGAAGTGCAACGTGGTTCCTTAAGCTAAGATGCTGAGTACCTCTAAGACTGTGGTACTTCTGCACTTACACTTTTGCACGTTGATCCCGGTTTGGTCCATGATAGAGGTAGACCCTTAGTTTGCTGTGGCTCACGCGTTTCTCTACCTCATTTTTCCAATGATGGATCAGGGATGCAGGACAGATAATCAGTGTTCCATGGGAAGTAAAGGTAGAGGACTCTTAAGAGGGGAATAAAAAAACCAACACCTAGTCATATTCATTAACTTTAACTTCTTAAAGGCACTAGTTCTTTCCCTTCACTGACTACATTCTTTTTTCAATCAATATTTTTAATAACTATTGCTCTTCCAATTGGAAGACATGGTCTTTTAAACAAAAACTATCTAATTCTTTATTTCTAAAAGCATGAGACAAAGGCTAACTAGGGAACATGTCTGGTACACAGCCTCATCTAATAAGGCAAGGCACTTTCAGAGTGGTCAGAAAAAGTAGAAGCTGGATCATTTCATAAACTTTTCTAGAGTTGATTCAATGTAGCATCACTCATTTTTTCTGAAAAGCATAACTTACTGTATATTCACACTAGATTATAAGTATAAAAACCCTTTTATAAGATAAACACTATTTTGCAAATAGTTAGGATCACTAGCACCATTGTGCCTCCATTAATACAGATGAGGACCAATGATAATATCATGTGATGTGCATGCATGTGTGTACATACACACATGCTGCTATTCTGCACAAGGACATGGGATCCAGCTACAGCAGGGATCGTTGGAGGGTAGCCGGCCATAGATTTTTAAGTTATCTAACCAATTTTGGGAGCTCTGCTAGCATAGTGGCTAAGGCACTTGACTGCTAACCAGAAGGCTGGTGGTTCAAACCCACCAGCCACTCCCTGGAAGGAAGATGGGGCAATCTACTTCCATAGTGATACTGCCTCGGAAACCCAAGGAGGGGTCGCTATGAGTCGGGTCCGACTCAACGGCACATAACAACAACAACAACAACCAACTGAGTCAGGGTTGACTTGACAGCACACAATAACAACAACCACCACCGAGATTTATATTTGTGTACAGGGCAACTTACGTGTGATGTGTCTATACATAATACATAAGAACTTTATAAAATCTTCATAAGATACTTAAATGCAATTACATTTTAAAAACATAGGTTGAAATAAGATAGAAATTATCTATTATCTTTCCTGGTGATTTTCTTTCATACACAACATGGAAAACAGCTTACTCTTTGGTGGCTAAAATCTGAACTTGAAATGAATCTTCCTTACACATAATACATTAATTTGGATAAACTCTGTAGTTATAGCCTCAAATTAACAAAAATAATGATTGTTATGCTTAAACTAAGTCTCCAGAGCCTTAGCTTTTTTCCCTAATTTTTTTTAAATTAGGGAAACCTAAGTTTTTATTTTGGCAAACAACAACAAGTTTTTATTAGGTCAACCTAAGTTATTATTGTTGTTGTTATGTGCCGTCGAGTCGGCCCCGACTCATAGCGACCCCTCCTTGGGTTTCCGAGGCAGTTATCACTACGGAAGTAGGATTGCCCAACCTTCCTTCCGAGGAGTGGCTGGTGGGTTTGAACCGCCAGCCGTCTGGTTAGCAGGCAAGTGTCTTAGCCACTATGCTACCAGAGCTCCCAAGTTATTATTATTATTTAGGAGAGAAAAAAAAAAGATCAGTTACCATTTGAATACTTAGCATCGGAAACAATACCACAGGAAAGTAGTTTAACACTGGTTTTCTAGTAAATTAATTAAACATGACCAAAACTATCCTCCAGTTTAAAAAATTCCCGTCAGCTGGCTTAAATGATTTAGGAAATGGCAGGCTACTGAGGCACTTTTGTATACCATCTTTAGAAAGCCATGTAATGGAATTTTTGTCCTTTTCTTTGTTTTTCTCTTGATTCTTTTGGGTCAGGATAAGTGCAATCATTGTCAGGGTTTTTCCTAAGCCCATATCGTCCGCTGTGGGGAAAAAAAATAGGCGTTAATTACTTAGGACAAAAAAATCAATTCAACTTCAAGAGATGAAAACCACTGGTAAAGACATGTACCTCTTGTTCCCTTTGCTGTCAGCGCTACTTCAGTCATTATTCTTTGCCTAAACTAATGAATCCTTAATTTTCCTTATTATAATGAATCTAGCTGTTGCTATTTATGTTGAGATCTAGGTCAAAGACATTTACTATAACTCTTGTAAAATTAAAAACATATTATCTGGATCTTACTCTAGGTCCCGTGTTCTACTGTTATCTATATAATGTATTTGTATACACCTATCTCAGTTTGATGATGTTGCTCTGTCTTTTTATCTGTTAGCCCCAAAAGCAAAAAAGTCCAACAGATCTATCCTACTACCTACTTTACTGGTGCTACCACATTTCTGGAGTTACAGTAACTCAAAACAGTCTTCCATTCCCTTCACAATTCACAACATTCTTCCCACCAATTCACAAAGATGGGTGTAAATGAACATTTCTTGGGTACTGGCATTGTGCTAGTCACTAAGCTTATCTCATTTTCTATTCATACCCTATCAAGTACTATTACCCTCATGCCAATAGATTAAGAAACCAAGGCTCAGTCTGGCTATTATAGTCATTTAAAATAATTACTCTAACATAATTGGGGAGAAAAAAAAACAGATGTAAAATGACAGAGCATGGGTTCCAGTTCAAACCCTAGCTCTGCCACTGTGCAGAGAGGAGTTAATGTAGCATGCCCAACTGCTATGCTCTGAAAGGCCTCATATAAGGCTGGCCCTTGGCTAGCATATGGAAACTTGGATTTCAGGATCTCAATATTCCAGGAACTGATAATATTGGCTCATTGTACCTTAACTGTTTGTATAAACAATATGGTTTAGGCTGCACATCTGCTTTCCTTCTGGGAGTCTAAAATTTTGGTATATGCCAAGCTAAGGCTGCTTATATGACCAGCTCCCAATAAAAACCTAGATGCTGAGTCTCTAACAAGCTTTCCTGGTTCACAACATTTCACCTGTGCTGTCACAACTCATTGCTGGGAAAATTAAGTGTGTCCCATGTGATTCCACTGAGAAAGGACTCTGGAAGGTCGTACCTGGTTTACGCTGAACTTCGTCTCATGTGTCTTTTCCCTTTGCTAGTTTCACTTGGTATCCTTTCATTATAATAAATCATGTTGTTGTTGTTATGTGCCGTTAAGTCAGACCCAAATCATAGCAACCCCTCCTTGGGTTTCCGAGGTGGTATCACTGCAGAAGTAGACTGCCCAACTTTCCATAGCTATGAATATATCTATATGCTAGGAGTCCTGCTAGTAAATCATCAAACCTGGGGATAATCTTGGGGACCCCCAACAGAGCCACTTATTAGCCACAGCAGACATTTCTCATGTTTTCTAGAAGTTAAGCACCTTGGAAATTTTTAGCTTGTTGACTACTCAAGGCAGAGCATGGAAAACTTACCTTCTAGCCTCCCCTGTAGCTAAGGCACTGGCAGCATGACCTGGCTTTACAGACCAGATGTACTTACACTTTAGTTCAGATGTGAGCAACTTTAGAAAAGTGGCTCCCTGTGGGATTCTTTCTTCAGTTAAGGCTGAAGACAGAAATGTCTGACTGTGGGGTAGAAGCCAGAAGGTTGGCAGTTCAAACCCACCAGCCACTCCGCAGAAGGAAGATGAACAATCTACTTCTGTACAGATTTACCGCCTCAAACCAATAGGGATCGCTATGAGTCGGAATCAACTGAATGGCAGGGAGTTTGGAGTTTTGGAGGTGGATAAAGCATCATGACAGTTTCCATAAATACTCCATTCCTGACTTGGCTTTGATAATTGGTTTGGGGAGTTTGGTCTCTGACCTGGTTCTCCACATCTCCTAGAGATTCTATGTGCCACCACAGAATAAACTCCTTCTCTGCTTAATCAGCCAGAGTCAGCTTCTACTGCTTACAACTAAGACCTCTACTGATTCTCTAGCTGTGTATTCTTCAGCAAGTTGCTTAACCTTTCTACATCTCAGTTTCCTCATCTGTAAAATGGAGATTAGAATATCTACCCCAGAGTTCTTGTGAGAATTAGATAAGACAATATGAGTAAAATATTTAGCATGCATAATGCCTAAGCATTCAATAAATGGTGGCTCTTATTATAATACCAAACTTACCCAGAATTCCTCCTTGTGGTTTCTGACTTTCCCGCCATAGTAGCCAAGCTAATGCCTGCTTTTGGTGCAGAAGCAAAGGAACCTAACAAAGGTAATAACCAAATGTTAATTATAAATTTCCTGATAAGAGGCTATGCTGCATCCTAGCTACATGGACTCTACTTGTCACCCTTTTGTTTCCTTTAAAGAGATCCTCCAATATATTAGTTGTCATCATATAACCTACTCATTTCTCCCTAAAGTGGTTGAGCCTACCTTCTCTCTCACCACGAGTAACCATACATCCTGATTTAATCTTATTCTCCAGCATTACTATGAAGAATGCCCTCTTTGCTGTCACGTGTGCTGATTTATCTGCCTAATGAGCCAACGTCAATTTCTACTGCTTGCAGCCAAGACCTCTAATTGGTCACTCTACTTTCACCAAAGATTCAGTTGGTTTTTCCTCCTTATCTCCCCCCATGGGTGAATGCATTTTCCTCCTTATTCTCTTAAATTTGAATCCCTTCTCTGTACGCAACATCCAGCTCACATTGCTGGTCAAAAATTCCAGTGGAGTGCTCTTTTCCAGTGCTATCTTACTTTAGCTTATCTTGTACTCTGTGACAAAAATAACATTCCTTCTCAAAATTTTACAGTGATTTCATAATATCTCTTGAAGTATTAAATTTAAGTTCCTTCACTAATGCCAGGTGAGTCCATCTCCTCAGTAATACTGCCTGCTACTCCCCGATGCAAGTGCTCATGACACCGACTATCACTTATTAATATCAATCTCTCTATCTTCGTTCTACCTCGTGATATCTTCTCTGCTGTCTTTAGGTTTGCAATTCCTTTAAGACAAAGTAAGCAGGTTACAAATACTGACCTTGAGTGACCTTTCTATTTTTTAAAATCCCTTTTGTACCTTGTATACAATCTAAAGTAAGTAATAATACCCATTTTACCTTTATTGTCTTAAAGCCATTTTCTAATAGTTTTACGGGTATTATAGATGCACCTTTGCCTCAACTAGTTCATTAAGAGCAGCAATTCATTTGCATCCTTTTGGCACCTATTAAAATTCAACAAATGAGTCCTTTACTGCTGTAAGTCATAACTCTATGGCTTAACATAAAAGAAAAAAGAAAATGCTGCAAGGGAAGTTACTAAAAGATCAATCTGTAGAAAAGATAGAACAGAAGAGCACTCTACCTGGCAGTTTCCCAGTGGTGTCTCCCTTCAGGGGTGGTGGGTCAGCTGCTACAGAATAAAGAACTCCTAAAGTGTAGGTCATGAGGTGATCGTACATTGTACTGGAAATTCAGAGGAGGGAACCGGGAACCATGAAAGGGAGAGAGAGAGAAGGGGTGCAATGTGACTCTGTTCTGGGAGCCCTCCTTGACTCACCTTCAACCCAGGAGGATCTTCTGCAACCACTGTCTCAGCAGGACATGACTCAAGTGATTGATGCAATTCATCAATGGCTTCACTTGTGATTTTCCACACCGAGTGAAGACAATCTTGGCTTGTAGGACCTACATACAAATAGGTGTTACCTAAAGAGGTCACGAATATTAGGTCCTGGCGAGAGCTGCACACTTATTTGCCACATAACAAAGTATGCATTGACCAAAACTTCTTATGCCCAGATTCACCTAGACTCACAGGCTCCTCCATCCCCTTGTTTTTGTTTTAAATCATATAAACAATTATTTTAACAAAGGACAAAACAAAATATAATGAAAAAATAAGTTGAGCCCCCCCAATATTTTTAATGTTCTTTCTTCAGCTTTGAAGAAGTGGCAGAGAAAAAAGTCACTCTAGCAATATTTTAGGAAGAAATTAAATTACACAAAGGCCAAGCTAAAGGAAATCCATATAAGTTTAGGTAGAAAGAACTCCTAAAGTGTAGGTCATGAGGTGATCGTACATTGTACTGGAAAAGACGTCAATGCTGTTAGCCCATTCACTCTACACAGAGAATTTCTAGGGAAATTAATTAAGCACTACCGGCATCTCAGGTATTTGTAATTTTAGGGATGCAGGGTCCCACATAAAAGGGTGCTAAACAAATAAAAATTAACCATTTAAAATTTAAATTGTATTTAAATGAAGAAATATTTTGATGGAATTCTTTCTGAAACAAATTGCTAATTTCTTACCTTAATAATCTAACATCATCTAATTTGTTTCTAGGTGTCTCCGTCATTATTGTGATTAATGAATGAGGCTATAACAACGTCCTCAAAAGACCTTCCAGGCAGCCAAGATTATAATGCATTAACAAGCATGTTTTCTATTTTCCCTTTTGGAGTGACTGTAGCTTCAATCATAGATGTTCTGGTGGCACTGTGGTTAAAGCATTGGGCTGCTAACCAAAAGGCTGGCAGTTTGAACCCTCAAACCCACCAGTTGGTCCAAGGTAGAAAGATGAGGCAGTCTGCTTCTGTAAAGATTTACAGCCTTAGAAACTCAAATAAGGTCGCTATGAGTTGGAATTGACTCGATGGCAGTGAATTTGGTTTTGGATTATGAGTAGCTTTTACAGACCCTGCCTGTCAACCTCAGCTCCTATCCTCTGATCAGTAAACCAAACGATCATCTTACATTTTTAAGACTACTTGGGATCTTCATTCTTCAGTTACTTCTGAATTCAAAGCTTTTCTACAAGGTTCCAGATGGCAACACTTAGGTAAATAGGTGTTACTGCTCCCTATGGGCCTATTAGTCATAGATCTTCACTCATGTCACTCCTCTGCTCTGCCTTAACACACACACAAACACTCAAGAAGGAATAATAATATCTCCTGTTTTACCAAACTTATAATAATGTGAGTTAAATTTTCATTCACAAACATTTACTAGATAACTACTATATGCCAGACACTAGGCTGGCTAATCAGGACTGTGATGAACAAGGCAGACAGTCTCTGCCTAAGCAGAGACACAATCTTGTGCAAAGCTCTACTGAGTATCAGGATCTTTATTACATGGGCAACTTTCAACCAAAGAATGGCTTCTCCCTTCACTTGGGCACAAAGCCTTTTAACTCATATGTGTAACTACAGGCCCTACAGTCTTACCTTCACAGTATTGACTGGATTCTCCAGCTTTTAGTCCTAGAGAACTGGGAGGCCGAAGATCTTGACCCTGCAGGGCCTTGGGAGGCACGAAATGGGGAGGGTCAGTGGTAGTTTTGGTGTAGCTATTCTGTTGTTGTACTTGAGTGTTACTCTTCTCATTAGTTCCTGCTAAAAAAAAAAAAAAGAAAAAGGAACAAATTAAAGTTTGGAAAACTAAGTGAAGGAACTGTATGTGTGGAAAAGAGGTCAAGAGGGGGTGAGGTCATCAATGTTCCAATAAAGACTTCGAAGAGAACACAGAATTTTAATAAGTGCTCAACAACAGAACAGAGAGTTTAACCCATAGGAATTAGGAGAAATAGTTTTTCGAAATCAAAAGGAATAATTTAAAAAAAGCTCAGAAGCAGATAATAAAATGGAAAGGTGAACGAATCATATATTCTTTATTCAAAATGGCTCTCCAAATGTCTTTGAAAGCTCACACAGACCTCAAGTTCTGGGGCATAACTCTTTTCTCTACCTTGCTCTGGGGATAGGCTGAGGGCACTGAGAGCATCCTCCAACACCTGGATTTGCTCAAGCAACTTCTGACCTTTGTCTGGAAGAGCCTGGATGTTCACCGATGCCAGTGTGCTCTGAAAAACAGATCTTATAAAATTGACTTCTCTCAAGTTGTTAGAGGGATAGTTACAGATTAAAATACAGGTATGCATCATTTAGCATCTGTTCAGGCTAAGTCTGAGTGCATATATGTGCGTGGTCCTATAAAGGTGTTTTGTTTTTCAAAAGGAAAAGAGCTTTCCTTTTGTTTATTATTTTACCCTAATGGTTTTAAAGACCTCAAACTCAGACTCAGACTCTTGCACCAATGGACCTTGAGTGGGATATAGACAGTTGAGGCAGAGGTGCAGGATCTTAGGGTTTGTTCAGCAGCAGCAGCAGGGCCCAGGCTGCTCTTGCTGCTCAGGCAGGTGGACTATCAACTGGAGCAGATGCACTCAGTTCCCCCACTGCTGGCATCCTCTGGATCCACTCCTGACTGCTTTCTCTGTTGCTGCTGCTGCTGCTGCTGCCAGTGCCCATTTCTCTGGCCTCCACCAGCACCTCTAGCAACAGCAGCAGCAGCAGCAGCAATAAGGACAACCAAAAGCAGGCTCCCATAAGGTTTTAATATGACTTTTGACAATATCCAAATCACGTAACGTTCTATTTCATACAATGTATTGTGGATGTTAAGCAATGCATGCCTGTATACTAAAATGCTAAAACTTAAAAATTATGGTCTTTTAGTCATGTATGTGAAAAATATATATATTTTAAACTCAGCTCATTTCCCAATTCTGAAAATATAAACATAAGAAAAGGCAAAAACTAAACAGTCACTTATAAAATGTTTTCCACGTTAACATATTTTGTCTTTTCTAGGGCCCCATATCTACCACAGAAAGTCATGGTCTACCCTTAAAAAGAAAACACAAGTCAACAGTTACCTTCTTTTGTTTCAGTTGTGTTGTGAGATATACTTGTTGGGCTGCTGGATCTATAGGCTCTACCTTCTTGGAGACTCCTGAGATAGGAGAGATTTTTCTTGGTTCACTTTGACGAGGTAATTTAAGATCCTCCTTCTTCTGTGAATCCAAAGTCAAGTCAAGTAGGGGGTTCCTTGGCTTAGAGGAAACAAAAACAACATCGTCTTCCTCACTGTTATCACTGCTTGTGTCAAGTTTCCGTCCTTCTCCCAGGGAAAGGCCTGCTGCTGGTGGTGCCCGCCGGACAGCTGCTCCTTGTGAAGCAGGCACACCAGGAGTCTCTGACTGTGCCTGGAAACTCCCAGTGGGCAGCCTCTTCTGGATGGTCTGTGTGCTTAAATCATCCTTTGCTTTTGTCTCTCTAGCCTCCCAGTTCTTGGGGTACCCCTTGCTGAGGTGTTCCCCTTTCTGGGGCTTGCTTATTGGATTCTGACTCTGAACATTTAGAGGCAAAAGTCTGGTTTCCTTTTCTTTCAGAAGTTCTGCTTCTTTTTGCACATCACCACTTTCCCTATTTGATTTCTCTTGAGAAGATGCAGATAGTTTCCTCAATTCAGTGCCACAGCACTGTTTGGGTTTAATTTCAGAGAGATTTTTTTTGTGTGTGGCTTCAGTCTTCTTTGCTTCACACTGAGACTCTATTCTCTCCCCTTGCTTCTTCTCTTGATATGCAGATTGTTTTTTCTTTACCATCATGCCAGATGAGAGATCTTTCTCCATCCCACATTCAGACTCAGGCTTCTGTTCCTTCTTCTGATGGAAGAGCTGATCTCTCTTTTCCTTTTGCTTCTTATCAGTCATCTTTTCCTCATCTTCACCTCTGATGAGCTGTTTCCAGGGAGATGGTTCTTGATTCTTGTCAAGTACTTTGAATGGGTTTCTCTGCTGGCTGGAAAGATGATAAAATGGCTCAGAAGCATCCTGAGGCTTACTTATTACAGAATGTTCTTTGGAATTAGGATCCTAAAGGGTAAAGAAAATAATTAATCTTAATATAAAATATTAATGGAACTTTTATATCTAGAAAGCCTTCTTCAGAGGACACTGACACACAGTAAAAGCAGCCCAGTTTTTCTGAACATTCCTGGGATAGTAAATGCCTCTAGAAAAAACTATGCATCAAACTTGCAGAGTAATAGTTTCTGAATAATACTTTTAGTGCTTGGTTCCTTCCCTGTCAGTAATCATTGCTTTTCTAGGCCTTAAGGAAATGTAGTGACCAAACAAAAAGATAGAAGAATCATTGAGACAAAAATCTTTTAAAGCTGTCACCAAAATGTTGAATAAGATATACTTTCCCTTATCCTGATAATTTAGGGTTTCTCAACCTCAACACTATTGACATTTTGGGAGAGATAATTCTCTGCTGGGGGTGGGGGGGTGGGGCTGTCCTGTGCATTATAGGATGTTTAGCAGGAGAGAAAGAGAAGTGGAGCAAGATGGGTTCAGAGCCAGAGGTCAGAGGAGGGAACCAGGAACCATGAAAGGGAGAGAGAGAGAAGGGGTGCAATGTGAGTTCACAGCCAGCAGCCAGAGGAGGGAACTGGGAACCAGGGAATCAGGAAGGAGAAAGAGAAGGCAGCGTGGCAGGTTCAGAAAGGCTGAGGCAGACCAGAAAGTGAGTGGAGTGGTTTTGGAACAGCTAAAGGAGATGAACTTGTCTGTCAGTTTTTCCTACTGCAGTGGCTTGCATGTTGCTGTGAGGCTGGAGGCTATGCCACTGGTACTTTAAATGCCAGCAGGGTTAACCACAGTGGACAGATTTCAGCGGAGCTTCCAGGCTAAGACAGACTCGGAAGAAGAAAGAGGCCACCTACTTCTCAAAGAATTGGCCAGTAAAAGCCTTAAGAATATCAGTGAAACACTTTCTGATATATTACTGGAAAACTTTATGAATAGTCCTGAAACACTGTTTGAAATACTGTCAGAAGATAAGCTCCTCAGATCAGAAGGCACTCAAAATACAACTGGCAAAGAATTGCCTCATCAGAGTAGAGCCAACCTTAACGATATGGATAGACTAAAGCTTTCAAGACTTCCATTTACTGATGTGGAACAACTCAAGATGAGAAGAAACAGCTGTAACCATCCATTATTAATCATAATATGGAATGCACGAAGTATGAATCTAGGAAAATCTGAAGTTTTCAAAAATTAAATGAAACACATAAAGATTGATATCTTAGGTATTAGTGAGTTGAAATGCACTGGTTTTGGACATTTTGAATCAGACAATCAGTGTCGAGAAAGACAAATTGAAGAGGAATGGTATGGCATTCATTGTGACAAAGGGTGTTTCAAGATCTATCCTGAAGTACAATGCTGTCAGTGATAGGATAATGTCCATACGCCTACAAGGAAGACCAGTTAATACCACTTTTATTCAAATTCAAGAACCAACCACCAAAGCAAAAGATGAGGAAATTAAAGATTTCTACCAACTTTTGCAGTCTGAAATTGACCAAACATGCAAGATGTGTTGATTATCACTGATGATTGGAATGCAAAAGTGGGAAACAAAGAAGAATCACCAGTAGTTGGAAAATATGGCCTTGGTGATAGAAATAACACTGGAGATCACAACAGAGTTTTGTAAGACCAACAACTTATTCATTGCAAATACCTTTTTCCAACAACACAAATGGCAGCTATACACGTGGACTTCACCAGATAGAGTATATAGGATCAACTATATCTGTGGCAAAAGGTAATGGAGAAGCTCAATATCTTCAACCAAAATAAGGCCAGGACCTGATTGTGGAACAGACCATCAACTGCTCATAAGCAAGTTTAAGATGAAGTTGAAGACAACTAAAAGGAGTCCATGAGAGCCAAATTATGATCTTAATTATATCCCTCTTGAATTTAGAGATCATCTATCGATGCACTGAACACCAATGACCAAAAACCAGAGGAATTGTGGGATGACATCAAGAACATCATCCATGAAGAAAGAAAAAGGTCATTAAAAAGATAGGAAAGGAAGAAAAGACCAAAATGGATGTCAGAGGAGACTCTAGAACTTGCCCTTGAACAGAGAGTTGTTAAAGCAAATGGAAGAAACAAGACAAAAGAGCTGAACAGAAGATTTCAAAAAGCAGCTTGAGAAGACAAAGTCAATTTTTATTACGATTATAAATTATTATAAATGTGCAAAGACTTGGAATTAGAAAAGCAAGAGGGAAGAACATGCTCGGCATTTCTCAAGCTGAAAGAACTAAAGAAAAAATTTAAGTCTCCAGTTGCCATATTGAAAGATTCTATGGGCAAAATACTGAATGATGGAGGAAGCATCAAAACAAGATAGAAGGGGAGATCCAGAAAGATGGTGGACTAGACAGAAAGACTGCACAGACCCTCTTCAACAAAGAAAAGGGAAACCAATTAACAAAGACACAGAAGATAATCCTGGACCCCTAAACCTTGAAGGGAAGGATACAGAAGTGGACTAAACCCCAACTAGCAGAAGAATTTGTGTGAAAATACCAAAAAAGGAGACAGACGGAGCTGCAGTCTGGTAGTGATCCTGAGCGATCCTGACAGCACAGACAATTTGGAGATTCCCGAGTGGTGGTGGTTGTTGTTGTTATGTGCCGTCGAGTCGGCCCCGACTCATAGCAACCCCTCCTTGGGTTTCCGAGGCAGTATCACTACGGAAGTAGGATTGCCC